ATACCTGCTGGAAACGCTGGGTATGTGGGTTGCCAGCTCCGGCTGTTGAATCGCCTGAATGGGAATGTCAGTTTTGCTTTTGCTTTTAAGCAAGTGTTCCTGATCCTCTGATGAAAGGCACTGTGGAAGTTTCTAAAAATACCATGTTGCCAAACAGCCTTCCCCCCGGCCCTGCCAGACAATCCCTTCCCAACACTGTTTCTCATCAGCTAGCAAAATTACACAAATCAGTCAAGCCCCATCCTAAATGATTCACAAATCCAATTACGTCTGATTCCTTGCAAAGCAAGCCCTAGCAGACCCAGCCCTGGCACTACAGCGTACATGGGTTGCTGTCCTCCCTGCCCAAGGGCCACAAGTGGTCCAGACACGCGGCTCCCCACTGGGGCTAATCACACAAAGGGCAGGGCAGCCTTAATCTCTGCCCTGAGAAACTGGAGAAGCCACCAAGGCAGCAATGGCACTTGGGGAGTGAACAGCATGGAGGGCCACTGGTCCAACAACATGCAGGTTCCGGGTCTCAAAACAGCATTTCTCAGGCTGTTATTTTAGAAGGCAGGTATGCACCTGGAAGAAACGCAAGGCCCAACACAAACATCTCGCATTGCATGCATACTTTTGCTGGGATAGCCATAGAGCCCTGCATGGCACATGTGGCCACATGTTTTTTTGACCCTTGTAATGGCAAGAGATTTTTTTTTTTTTTTTTTGCGGCCTAGGTATGCCGATTATCCAAGATATTTCAACTATTCATATTGATCAACTATTGCTGATATTAAAAAAAACTATTTTTAAAAACAGATATACAGTTTTAAAGTAAGTGGATACACATTTCTAAGCATATGGCAATCACAAACACTCAATTTCAAGTTCGTAAGAAAAAAAAAGACACTACTGTAAGACATGCTTCTATTTGATGTAATTAGGAACAGCAATACTGAAGTGAACAATATAAGGCTTGATATTTTCCTCAACAGTTTTGAAAACTATTTGCTTATCAGTACTACCTGCTCTCAAGCATAGTTTCAAAGTCTTGTTCTGATGAAAAGCAACACAAGACAGTTATTGTTTGCTTTGTACATGCAAAGTAGAAAATATGCATGTGCAGCATGTGCTTCACAGAATAAGTACAATAAAAAACAACGTGAGAAATATTCTGAAAAATTAGATAGTAGATGTTAAGAAAAATGATAGTGGAGAGAATAAAAACATTTATTCTGAAGAACACTGCAGAGTTAGAAAGGACTCTGGCAAGTTAAGGCAAGCAAACAGGACAGTGTGACCTGTTGCTGTGGTATGAGAAAAGGGCTCAATAACGACTCTGCCCAAATCTCTCTCTTCTTCATAATCATTTCCAGTGCTGCACAAATTTAAACAGCACAAACACTTCAAACTCTATTGGTTTAAAAAGCTATAAAAGCTAATTTCTAAACAATGAAATAATGAAGTAGTTTAAGCTGACCCAAACAACACAAGTTTACATTTCTTTTCTCCTCAAACATCATAGAAAAATACATATACGGCACTTCAAAGCAAACCTCTTTCTTGGTCCCGACTTTTAAACATTCTAAGCATGAGGTGCTCCTCATGAACACATTCTACTTGAACATTAATTTTGCTTACAGTTCATTTCCTTCCTCTCGCCTCCATGTTCCTTGATTCTTTGCCAGGCTCTCAAGCAGAATCTTCTGCTTTTAGCAATCTCTCTGCCTTGCCTTACTAGGAGGCAAGCCCTACGACATCAAAACTTTACCAGGCAATCAATTTTTATGGCACAAATTGATTAAGACATCACAGTAAAGAAAACAAAGATCCCATTCTGATGCAGATCTTAGCAAGTATAATTACTTAATATGAACAAGCAAATGAAAATGCAGAATGCACAAGACATACATACACAAAACTTGTTTGTTCCTTTTTTTTTTTGTGACAGAGGTTAATTTAAAAAACCAAGCTCCAGACAGCACTCATTCAGCCAACTTAGTCCTTTAGAGCATTAAAACCCTGCTTCAAAGCCCTGCCTCTCCCCACCCTGTTTATACTAGCACACCTCCTGCTG